TGTATTCTTCCTGTGGGTTCACCACAATCCCGTTGTTTACAAAATTCGACCAAGAACCCTGAATGAATTTAGACAAAACGTAATTTAGGAATGGTCAAAGATTACACGCGAATCTAAAAAAAGTCCAAAAATAACTTCTACAGAGAATTCATGTGTACATTCATGTTAATGGAAGTCAGTTTGAAAATTGTTAAAATAAGATAACCCATTCAGTCTTGACCTATGGGCCACCCTGTATATTCAGCATAACAATAATTTGTAGGCTCAATTATTAAATAAACTATTGCCAATATTTTGGTAATCTACCCTATACAGTACTTGAAATCAATATATCATCCAGTGCGCATGCATAACATTTCCCAGTGCAACATCAAGAAGTATTTTATTTTGCAGATATTTATGAGATGAACATACTGCAATAGTGTTCATTGGGATATGCAGCTCTAAACAGTGAACTGTTATAAATTATCCAAGTCAGAGAAATGTGGCAAATAACTACTTTATGTATCTTGAATGAGATTTTCAGCAGATACTTATTAACTTTTTGGTCTCATTCTCCTACTATACATACTCACGAACTTTTACTCTTTCCAATTATAAAAAAACTGAGAAGTCGTGGAAACAGATATAGTCAATAATTTATCAATTTGTATCAATTATTCATAGACGTCACCCTGCCTCTTTACCATGTAGAATGATAGCCGACTCCAAAATGTCTTCTATCACCTCCGCACTGACAGTTTTCACAGCCACAGATAGCACTGTGGCTACAGCCGTCACAACAGCTACAGTTGACTCCTGGATGCAAACACATAATGATGGGAGCAGGTGTCACATTTTAACCACACAACTCCTAACATCAACAATCAAATAACAAGTGCCATCCATTGTCAGAGTTAATATATCACAGTATTTTTAGTGAACGTGTATAAAACCAGCTGAAATTTTTTTCATGTCTTTGCATGCTTACCACAATCATTCATACTCTTTAAAACGTGTTTTTATCTACAGTACTCAGAATATATGACATGCAACTATAATTTAATTAAATGTTCTGGGTATATTAATACAGGTAAATCAGACGAATACAGAATTTTTAATTGTCTGGTAGCTCATGGGCTGATGCAGTAAAATTGACAAAACAATGAGCCAGCAAAGCTGAGATTCTTGGTTCAGGTCCAAGATAAAATAAGGCTTGCAAGTATAAGAAGCCTTAATGATCTCAGCCAGACCACCAATGTGTGTAATTTTCTGTTTACAATCATACTGAGATATTTGGTTGATAGGCATTCGATGAATCACATTAAAATGTACCATGAAAGAGTAAAAGGACAGAATTTAGATGTATAGTACCGATCCCGTGGCTTCTGTCTCCATGTCGTCGTGTTGCGGTGGGTCAGGGTTCCATTGCTCAGCGGGGCAACGCAGCAGGCTCTCAGTGAGTATCTTGCCGATACTCTCAAGTGCATCCTTCAGAGCGCGCAGTGGCAACTCCTCCAGCACTTCCTTCAAGCAGAATGGGTCTGTGCGGCTTTTCTACAAGAAACACCGTGATTATATGACATTTAACTGTTCGGCTGCATTCCCTGAGCAAGTAACGATGTATTGAATAGAATGAAACGAATTCTAACGCTAATGGTATATGTACAACATCATTTGTGCGATCATTATTGTATGTTTTAGAATGGTTTCATGTGATCTGTGCAGTCACTAGAGGCATTATATTTACCAAAATATGAAATAATATCGAATATCAAGGTAAAATTGTAACATTTCACTGAATTGATGCATGTATTCGTGTTCAGGATTCCAAGTAAGGTTCTGGGTAGACGACAGCTTCTTCAGAATGCTGCTGCTAGAGTCCGTACGCACACACCATTTCGCGAGCACATCACACACCTGCTTTCTTGTGTTTACACTGGCTACCAGTCAAGTATCAAGTGGATGAAAAGACCCTGCTGCTGACCAAATCTCAGTGGGTTAACCCCACAATATTTGCAGGAATGGATCCATGTTTACACTCCAACGAGGTCCCTGAGATCTTCAAATCGCCTTCTTCTAAGTCCTCCGAGGTCAAGGCTCATTTCCTGAGGTGATTGGGCTTTTGCCCGTGCAGCTCCCAGACTATGGAAAGCTTTGCCATTGGCAATGAGACGATCAGAGTCGTTATGTATAGATTTAAGTCTGTCTTGAAAACTCACCTCTTTAAATTGACCTTCACCCCCTAGTTATGGGCGTTTACCCTGGTTCTGTTTATATCCTGCTTTTGATACACGGGGCACATAGGAATCTTGCAGAAGGAATACGCCTTACAAATTGATGTTTTTTTTTTTTATATGCGAAGTATAAACTTAGAATAATCACGTTACACACAAAAAGCGTGTTCTGTTCGCATCATCCTTAAATAAACACCTAAATGTAACCATCGTTATCTTCTTCCGTGACATCACAACGTCCCACGTTCCACTGACTTTCTGGCAGCAACAAGCAAACCGTACGAATCTAGTGCAGTGTCCGTCGCTCGTGAGTGACAGGGACGCGACATGTTGGCAGAGGAGAGCCCTCACGTGTCGCTCTACGATCTCCAGCAGCCGTGACGGCGACTCCTCCTCCTCGAGACTCTGCAGGAAGGCGTCTCGGGCAGGTGGAGTTGCAGCAGCAGTCGCCTTTCTCTTCGAGGCAGCCATTCTCGATGGCTTCTCCAGCTATGCTGCACAGGGTTGTTAAACGTGACACACGTACGAGCTTTTGAGTGGGAAACCCCTCCGTTAAATAGAACAAGGTTCCACACTGTTAATTAAATAAAAAATCGTTCCTTTATTTTTGTCCGTAAAACAATGTACAGTAGTCATGTTTTTGCCGTTTTTGACCAGTTCCCCAATCCTGTGACATGTCAAGCAGGTACAGTACTTGCTATTTTTTTTATTGAGAGCTATACTGTATAACTAACGACGTGTGTGTCACTAACGTCTGTAGCGGCGCCGTCGTCGCCGCCGTCGCGAGTTTCGCGCCTTTTTTCGGGGTCCTTCGAGCGCCCCGCGGCTGAGGCGGCCACGGCAGCCGCCTGTGCCCTCCGCCTTCTCAAACTACTATCACTACTATCACTGCAACACCACGATACGTTTATACACTACAAGCTACGTGTACACTCAAACTACGTGTGTACTTCAAACTACGTTTATACTTCAAACTACGTGTACACTTCAAGCTACATACCGGGCTACATCGTCGCGTACACGGCGCGCTGGTACTTCGATGCCGGAGTAAATCTAACTGATGTATTGGCCTGCTAGCCACGCCCCCTTCCAACCCCTCCCACCTGCTAGCCACGCCCCCATCCAACCCCCTCCCCACCCGCTAGCCACGCCCCCATCCAACCCCTCCCGCCTGCTAGCCACGCCCCCATCCAACCCCTCCCACCCGCTAGCCACGCCCCCATCCAACCCCTCCCCCTGCTAGCCACGCCCACATCCAACCCCTCCCACCTGCTAGCCACGCCCACATCCAACCCCTCCCACCCGCTAGCCACGCCCCCATCCAACCCCTCCCCCTTGCTAGCCACGCCCACATCCAACCCTTCCCACCCTGCTAGTCACGCCCACATCCAACCCCTCCCGCCTGCTAGCCACGCCCCCATCCAACCCCTCCCACCCGCTAGCCACGCCCCCATCCAACCCCTCCCGCCTGCTAGCCACGCCCCCATCCAACCCCTCCCACCCGCTAGCCACGCCCCCATCCAACCCCTCCCCCTGCTAGCCACGCCCACATCCAACCCCTCCCACCTGCTAGCCACGCCCACATCCAACCCCTCCCACCCGCTAGCCACGCCCCCATCCAACCCCTCCCCCTTGCTAGCCACGCCCACATCCAACCCTTCCCCCCTGCTAGTCACGCCCACATCCAACCCCTCCCACCTGCTAGCCACGCCCCCATCCAACCCCTCCCACCTGCTAGCCACGCCCCCATCCAACCCCTCCCACCGGTTAGCCACGCCCCCATCCAACCCCTCCCACCGGCTAGCCACGCCCTGTGACCCCTCCCCCAGACGCACGTCATCACCAGCCCCCACCTCCCTCCCCCCCGCTAGCCACGCCCCGTGACCCCTCCCCCAGACGCACGTCATCACCAGCCCCCCCTCCCTCCCCCCGCTAGCCACGCCCCGTGACCCCTCCCCCAGACGCACGTCATCACCAGCCCCCACCTCCCTCCCCCCCGCTAGCCACGCCCCGTGACCCCTCCCCCAGACGCACGTCATCACCAGCCCCCACCTCCCTCCCCCCCCTAGCCACGCCCCGTGACCCCTCCCCCAGACGCACGTCATCACCAGCCCCCACCTCCCTCCCCCCCGCTAGCCACGCCCCGTGACCCCTCCCCCAGACGCACGTCATCACCAGCCCCCCCTCCCTCCCCCCCGCTAGCCACGCCCCGTGACCCCTCCCCCAGACGCACGTCATCACCAGCCCCCACCTCCCTCCCCCCGCTAGCCACGCCCCGTGACCCCTCCCCCAGACGCACGTCATCACCAGCCCCCCCTCCCTCCCCCCCGCTAGCCACGCCCCGTGACCCCTCCCCCAGACGCACGTCATCACCAGCCCCCACCTCCCTCCCCCCCGCTAGCCACGCCCCGTGACCCCTCCCCCAGACGCACGTCATCACCAGCCCCCACCTCCCTCCCCCCCGCTAGCCACGCCCCGTGACCCCTCCCCCAGACGCACGTCATCACCAGCCCCCACCTCCCTCCCCCCGCTAGCCACGCCCCGTACACCCTCCCCCAGACGCACGTCATCACCAGCCCCCACCTCCCTCCCCCCCGCTAGCCACGCCCCGTGACCCCTCCCCCAGACGCAAGTCATCACCAGCCCCCACCTCCCTCCCCCCAAGCGGCTTGGCGCTATAAAGATGGAGGCGCGGCACGTGGCGCTCCCTGCGGGAAGGTCTCGTGCAGCAGCAGCAGCGGGCGACGTTCGCGAGCAGCGGAGACAAACCAACTCCGCGTGGCGCAGCGGGCGGCTGCTGCTGCCGCCTCGAGACACTCCCGGGCGAGAGGAGCGCACAGCGGCAAGGAGAATAGTTCTAGTGAGATGAAGATGATGATGGTGGCGGTGGTGGTGCCGAGGGGATTGTTGTTGCTGCCTGGCGGCCTGTGTGTCGCCTGCTTCCTCGGTCTCGCCGCCTGCGCAGGTGCAGAGAACGACCCAGCAGCAGCAGGAGCAGCAGGAGGAGGCGATGCTGAAAGTGTGGCCGCCTTTGTCTCTCTCAACCACAACAACCACAACAACAACCACGACCACAACGACAACGACGACCACGTGCGCTTCATGCGGGCGCTGTTCCGGCGGGAGGTGGACGCGCACGGGAGGCCGCGGGGCGGTCCCAGCGCCCTCCCCGGCAACACGGCGAGACTCGTGACGCCCGCACGCAACAGCCCAGCCCTGGGGGACATCGCGGGCACAGGTGGGTGAGAGAGAGGGTGAGTGGGTGGGTGAGAGGGAGGGTGAGTGGGTGGGAGGGTGAGTGGGTGGGTGAGTGGGAGGGTGGGTGGGTGAGCGGGAGGGTGGAAGGGTGGGAGGGTGGGTGGGTGAGCGGGAGGGTGAGCGGGAGGGTGAGCGGGAGGGTGAGCGGGTGGTGTGAGCGGGTGGGTGGGTGAGAGAGAGAGAGGGTGAGTGGGTGGGTGAGTGGGGTGGGTGGGTGAGAGGGAGGGGTGAGTGGGTGGGTGAGAGGGTGGGTGAGTGGGTGGGTGAGAGGGAGGGTGAGTGGGTGGGTGAGAGGGAGGGTGAGTGGGTGGGTGAGAGGGAGGGTGAGTGGGTGGGTGAGAGGGAGGGTGAGTGGGTGGGAGGGAGGGTGAGTGGGAGGGAGGGTGAGTGGGAGGGTGAGTGGGTGGGTGGGAGGGTGAGTGGGAGGGTGAGTGGGAGGGTGAGTGGGAGGGTGAGTGGGAGGGTGAGTGGGAGGGTGAGTGGGAGGGTGAGTGGGAGGGTGAGTGGGAGGGTGAGTGGGAGGGTGGTGAGAGGTAGTGGGTGAGTGGGTGGGTGAGTGGGTGGGTGAGTGGGTGGGTGAGTGGGTGGGTGAGAGGGTGGGTGAGAGAGAGGGTGGGTGAGTGGGAGGTTGGGTGGGTGGGAGGGTGGGTGGAAGGGTGAGAATGAGTTTGATTCCCGTTCCTGGTCAACCCGAGTCACGATAATTATTTGAGCCGGACTGGATCCTCCCCTGGGTCGACTCAGCCTCAAGTGCGACGTGTTTTAACTTCGCCACTGGGGAGACAGACGGCCTCACGCGACTCCCCGCCCCGCTGTACAACCCCGTGCGATAGTTCCACCCCTTGACCCTATGCCCTGTTGACCCCTTGACCTGTTGACCCCTTGACCCGGGTGCGTAGCCGAGGTGGTGACCTTTGACCTGCGTGTGGTGCCGCGCGGGGAGCTGCTGCAGCGCGCGGTCCTCGTCTACCCTGGGGACGGCCACGCCCCCTGCTCCCTGCGGGTGACCACGTGACACCACGTGACACCACGTGACCCCCCCCATTACCCCCACCCACTACACCTGCTACCCCGTCACCACGTGACATCACGTGACCCCCCCCCCATTACCCCCACCCACTACACCTGCTACCCCGGTAACTAACACGTCACCACGTGACACCACGTGTAACCCCGCTGCTAACACAGTACCCACGTGTTACCCCCCGTGTTACCTTGTTACTAGCACAGTACCCCCACGTGTTACCTTGTTACTTGCACAGTAACCCCGCGTGTTACCCCGCGTGTCACCGCTCCGTGATTGGTGGCTGTCAGAGAGAGAAGATTGGTGCTTTTTACCCCGTTATCGCACTTTACCACCGTAGCAACTTCCTTACCCTGTGCTAGAAGACGCGGATGAAGAGGTTGGAAGCAGCATTGAAGCAGATGGGATCAGGGGAGGGGCAAGCTACCTTCACTGGAATGGGCCACTCGTTATCCAGCATCTGTGACCCGCATCTGAGAGGGGGGGGGGGGTTCTTTACCGATGAACATCTGTGACCGTCCACCAGCGGTGATTGTGACGGGGGGTGAACCGGGCCGCTGACGAGACGGTCCCACTTGGACCACCGCTGCCCTTCCGTGCTCTCAGGTGTTGCCGGGGAGTTCCGTCGGAGCGGACCACGGGGCCTCGGAGCCCGCGGACGACCCGGAGCCCAGCGGTGACCCCAACCTGGAGCCAAACTCAAACCCCGAGACGGTGCCAAGCCCCGGCTGGAGCCCTCGACCGACACCCAAACCTGAGCTGGACTCCGACCCAGACCTTGCGCAGAGCCTCAACGGGGACCCCGTCTCGGACGACCCCGAGCCGGAGGCTCCCGCGACGACGACGACGACGACGACGACGAGGGTGTCGCTGGGTGGCGAGTGGTTCCAGGTGGACGTCACGGGGCCCGTGTCGCGCCTCTTGGGCCACCCTGCCGCCTCTCTGTCTCCCGACTCCTCCTCTCCATCCTCCTCTCCGTCTCCCTCCTCCTCCTCCTCTTCGTCTCCCTCCTCCTCCTCCTCTCCGTCTCCCTCCTACTCCTCCTCCTCCTCTCCGTCTCCCTCCTACTCCTCCTCCTCCTCTCCGTCTCCCCTCCTACTCCTCCTCATCCTCTCCGTCTCCCTCCTACTCCTCCTCTCCTCTCCGTCTCCCTCCTACTCCTCCCCACTGCTGCCGCCGCTGGTGCTGCGCGTGGCCTGGAGCTGCGCCCCTCGTCGCGCCGCCGTGACGCCGTTTCTCCTCCTCTACTCGGACGACGTCCTGCCGGCGGCGACGACGACGACGGCCCCCCGCCGCCTTGAAGCGGAGCTCCGGAAGCGGGCCCTGGGGGTGCGACGAGGGCCTCCGGTGGGCCCCGTGCCCCTCCGGGAGAGCGAGGAGGAGGCGCCGCCGCAGGGTGGCGCGCTCGCGCCCAAGGGGCTCGACCCGCACGAGCCCCCAAATCGGCGTCAATCCGCCTCCTTGGCATTGTCCCCCCACCAGCAGCTCCTGCGGAACTTCAAGCGGCTGCAGCGGCAGCAACTGCGGCTGGCAGCAGTTGCGGCAGCGGCAGGAGCAGGAGCGGCAGCAGCAGCAGGAACAGCAGCAGGAGCGGCCGTCGGCGCGCCACTACTTGGGCGCCTACTCCAACGGCTGCCGCCTGCGCAACCTGACGATCAACTTCGCCGACCTGGGCTGGGAGCGGTGGGTGTTTGAGCCGCGAAGCTACGAGGCGGGCGACTGCCGCGGGGGCTGTCCCCGCGGCCTCCTCCTGCAAGCCCCGGGAGAGCCCAACCACGCGGCGGTGCGCGCCACCGTGGAGGAGGTCCGCCCGGAGCTGGGCGTGGGGCGGGCCGCCTGCGTGCCCTCTCGCTACGGCGCCATCGGCATGCTCGTGTGGGAGCCCCACGGCGGCATCGTCTACAAGCTGTACATGGGCATGGTCGCGCTCGCATGCACGTGCCGGTGAAAGGGGGCGGTGGGCGGGGGGTCACGCGGTGCCGGGGCGATGGTGACGGGGCGATGGGAGCGATGGGTGTGCAACCTTTGTTCCCTCCCCCTGCTGTTCTCTCCCCCGGCTGTCACCCGCTGTGTTTGTTGTGCGGTCGCCGTCTTGAAGAAGCCTGGGAAATCTGTGAAACCTCGAACCTGGGAAATCTGCGCAACCTGGAGAATATTTATTGGCGCATCCGCGAGTCAACAACGTCCGTCAATTTATCAACTAATTGGTTGCTTTGTGTGCGATTGGGCAACCCTTCCAATGTAATGACTTCCCCCCCCCCCCCGCCCCCCTCCCCCCCTCCCCAAATCTCCGCACTGCTTCAGAAATAAAACGTCGACACATAATCACTCAAAAGGCACGTGTCCGGCGCTTACATTGACACGGGACTGGGGAGACAAAGGCGGGCGGGCGCTGGTGCTGGCGCTGATCAAAGTGTTTGTGTTATTTCACCAGGTGAGCCCGGCTTGTCTGACAGAAGCGGCCCTGGCTATCGCGTGATGGCTCAACAGAGGTGGCTCATCGTCATCATCATCATCGTCGTGTGGACACTGATAGCACAGCAGCTGAGCACTGAAACCGCGCGGTGTTTGATTCGAGATGTGGAGGGGGGGAAGCGGAGGACGCAGAGAAAAATCCACGCGGCCACGGGGGGGGGGGGGGGGAGTGAGACACGCAAACTCCAAATATACAGCAGCAGGCGTCAGGGTGGGGATCGAACCCACGACCTCCTGTAGACCTGGCGAGGTAGTTAACATCTCCTAGCCACCGTGGCGCCCCATCTTAATCAACGCTGGCTTACGGTGCAACAACAAGCGCCATTCGCCACGAAGTGGCGGTGACGTCACCACGACGCTTGTGCCAGGCCAGGTGCACCTTGAGGCCACGTGGCAGGAGGTCACGGGGCAGACCCAGCAGGTGTCACGGGTCGACTGACCGAGATGACCGAGTTGACTGGCTGATGCACCACCTGTGCCCCCTGCTGTGCCAACGAGCGCAAACACAAACACGCAAAGGTCACCAGTGTAGCCTTGACAGACTGTCGGGTCAAGTGCTGCTGGTGAGTAGCCCCACGAGGGGGTGTGGGTGGCCAGCACCACGCCTGGCCGCCTTTGTCTCCCCTGTGGGGATGTTTACACACCGCACCAGCTACTGTACTCATTTGAGGCCGAGTCGACCTAGAAGAGGCTCAGGACCGCTACGACACACGGAGGGGGGGGGGGGTGGCTGGGCCAACTCGCTCACCCACTCACCGCCGATGCGACCATCAACTCGCTCACGCGCCCACTCGCAACAAGACAAAGCTGCTCTGTGTAGCCTTAACAGACTGTTGGGGCAAGTGCTGTTGGTGAGCAGCACCTATGAAGGCTACCGGCACTGTGGCGCACGAGGTCGAGTGGGGGGTTGGCACCACCCGGCCGCCTTTGTCTTCCCGGTGGCGTTGTTGACTTGCGCGCACGCCATGGGCCACACGGGGGAGTCCCAAACAGCACGGAACACTCATTCATATGAGGCTGAGATGTAAGCTAAGAAATGCTTTATTTATATTTTTTTTCTACCCCACGTGACTTTACCGAAAGAAGCAAAGAGTGTGGATTCCCGCAGTCACGAATACTTCAAGTCACGATTGCAGAGTTCACGAGATCACACGAGAGCAGTGGAGAGCGAGCAGCAATGGCACGCGTGAATGAGGACGGCGTTTAGTTGTTGTTATTGCATCTTTCTGCTCGCGGTGCAATGTGACCCCGCCGCCCCGACTGGGCTTGTGTGACGACAAAGAGCTTCATAGCTCGTCGGCTTTCTCCAGGATAAATACAAAGATTCTGATTCTGACAATTCTTACAACTGAGTCACGGAACCATTAGACAGAGTCGAGTGACTAATTGTACTCATCATGCCTCTGTGTGTGTGTCGGCGTGTGTGTGTGTCGCGTGTGTGTGTGTGTGTCAGTGTGTGTGTGTGTCAGCGTGTGTGTGTGTCAGTGTGTGTCGCGTGTGTGTCAGCGTGTGTGTGTCCGTGTGTGTGTGTCAGTGTATGTGTGTCGGCGTGTGTCGCGTGTGTGTCGCGTGTGTGTGTCAGCGTGTGTGTGTCAGTGTGTGTCGCGTGTGTGTCAGCGTGTGTGTGTCTGTGTGTGTGTGTGTCAGCGTATATGTGTGTCATCGTGTGTGTGTGCTCGCTAACAGTGGGGAGCGGTGGTGCAGCGGGTAGCGCTACGCTGCGCTACGAACCCGGCGGCCCGAGTTCGATTCCCGCTCACGGCCAACATCGGTGACGAATATCTGAACCGGTCATGGGCCTCCCCTAGGTCGACTCGGCCTCAAATGAGTAGCTGGTGAAGTATCAAAACATCGCCACTGGGGAGACAAAGGCGGCCGGGCGTGATGCTGGCCACCCACCCCTCGTGTGCCGTGTCAGTCTTCATAGGTGCTACTCGCTAGCAGCACTTGCCCCAACAGTCTGCTACAGGCTACACGGGGGATCTTTGTGTGTCGCTGTGTACGAGTGTCAAGGTGTGCGTGTCAGCACTGCACTCTTATGTGTTTCGCTGTGCACAGTACACTATACAATTATAAACATACAATAGAACAATTCAACTTACAACAAAACATTGTTGCAGGGAACAGCTGTGAACCAGGAGGCTAGAAGCGGGTGTTTGTGTTGCCACTGATTTTGGCACAATTGCAACAGGACTCTCGATTTGTATTTTAAAACAATCGCCATGCGCCTGATCTTCTCTTAGCACCCCCCCCCCCACATCTTGTATAAGTCTCCTAAACGTGCGTGTGTTGTTGGACTTCTTTCGCACCGTACGTAGCCAATTTACACGCATTTTTTGTTATAAATTCATTTACAAGTATATATATGTGTGCTGTATACACTCTACACATTAGTAGACATATCGTATATACACACACATGTACAAGTATATATATATGTGTGTGTGCTGTATACACTCTACACATTAGTAGACATATCGTATATACACACACAAGCAACACAAGTCGCTTGCTTGCTACGGTGGCAATGCGGGTGGGGGGAGAACGGTGGGCAGAGGAGCGCCGCTCACAACAACGAGCAGAGCACCGGGCGGATA